TCCTGTAGAATGCTTTCTGGTTTCTGTTAAAAAGAGAATTCTGTTGCTTCCTCGTAGTGCAATTCCTACTAATTCCAAAATAATAATATTATTATTATTATTATATTATTATTATTATCATTATTATTATTATTATTATTATTAAATATATTATTAATTTTTTATACTGGATAGCCATTTAGTGATGTACTTATGAATAAATTAAATATAATTGTTTTCAGTGAGTATGCAACGTACAATGTTCAAATTAGTGGTATGATATTTCCGAGTGAGAAAAATTAATGATCAACTAAATCAACTAAAACTGAACTCTTACCAACTAAATTATAAACCACACCAATTGCTTGATTAAAAGGGTTGGGTTTAATAGAAGTAAAGCTTGTGACAAGTGGTACACTTCTTTTAAACTAATTTGTTTCTATATGAGAATTATTTAGCATGATAGAAATATTGGAGTAGTCAGTTAGTCAATCTCTCTAATGTGAACTGAATAGATTCATTTTAGAAAAATTTTAATTCCTATCCTGAATAATATTTTGTGTCCAAGATTCTCAATATACCATACCTGAATCCTTGTCTTCCGCCCTCACCTCACCCACTTGCTGATTGAGATTTGCATCTTCTGGAATTTCTTCAAATATATACATTTTTTTGGTAAACCTTGGTTGATTGTCATTGATATCGGCTATCTCGATTCGAAAAGTGTGTTCACCTAATCAACAAAAAAATTCACTGCATTTTATTAAAGAAAGAAATTAATTATTAAAGAAATTTTATTAAAGAATTTAGAAATTAAAACTCTGAAGAGGGATTCCACATTTTCCTAGGATTCCTCATTTTTAAACAGAATAAATCTACAAGTAACTCTCAATTTAGGAACTTGTTAGGAATTTTTTTTCTCCATTTGCAACTCAAAATTGTTGTAAGATCTCTAAGCTAACTCTAGTTAGCAATACTATATCTTATATAATTTCACCATTTCTAAATACTCAATTGCATCTCATTGAATCACTGATAGGAAAAAGGAAGAAAGCCCAATTGGAAGTAAATTTAATAAAACCAAGACATACCTGTGCTCATTATATAAATAGGAGAAAACCAGGACAGTACAAGTGATATTTTATAAATTCTGAGAAAACTTCAATCACTGTTAAGTTGTGCTGCTTTGTATCATCATTAAAATCACAGCATTTCAATTTTTCATTAAAACTACGATATTATATTGGCACTAAAATATAGCCTAATATAAAAAAAAAGTTTTTCTCATAATTTATAGGTCACTTTTACCGTTTTGGTTTTCACCCATCATGTATAAATACATTTAAGATAATTATCCATTGTTAAAGAAGATACAGCAATACATCATGTGATGGGGAAAGTTAGGCATATTTTAAAATTATACATACCTTTATTATGTCTTCCGTCATGAAATAGGGCAGACGGAGAGCTGTCGGTTGCAATAACTTTTACTTTGTAAAAATCTTTCTCTTCACGATCAAATTTGACTTTTGTAGTAATATTACCAGTGTGAGGATCTATTTGGAAGCGTTCTTGCACCTCTGTTACATTTTCCAATTCATATGTTACCTAGCCCCAACAAACATAAGAATGAAATGGCAGGGAAAAGTTTATATTATATTTATAAATATTCAATTATATCATTATATAGCATACATAGAAGATTCAAACAAACCTGATTATGAGCTGTAGTGCCATCTAAATCTATAGCTCGAACTTGCATAACCGGTGTGCCAGGAGGCTCATTCTCTAATACACTTCCAGGCACAATATCAATGAAAACTGGAATTACATCATTTACATCTTCCACTTTAATAACTATAAATTGTTGAGCAGCCAAGTTATCTTTATTCTGAACTCTCACAATCAATTGGTATTCATTTATAGCTTCATAATCCAAACGCTTCCCAAGTTTTATATATGCAGTATCATTATGCTGCTCCAAGACAAAGGTATTTTGCTTATTTGTTTGTTCAGTTCGACCAATCAGAAGCTCGAACACTGGAGTATCATTTGGAATGTTTGAGCTGAAAAATAATTTTAAAAAATAATAACATAAAACTCAAAATAAATTTTTAATCACAAATTTACTACTGTTGCACTTTAGAAACGACAAAAGGAAATACTTTGAGAACTTCACAACAGAAAATATTTTATTTTTATTTAACATCAAAAGAATCATTAAAAACCGTGTGACAATACTATGAGGAGACTTGCAATATTTGCACGGTTTTGTGAGTTCTGGAATCTTTGCTCTAAGTAATACAGTGAAATCTCAGTATAACGGACTTCAGTATTATGTACGTGTTTAAAATCCCCTTTTAAATGTCCTGTTACAATGTAAAGATATTTCACTTTTAGGAACTCTTTACTCAGACCCATTTCAGTATTTCATAGTAAAAATGTAAGGATTATTATTATTTTTAAAATATTTTCATTCATTTTGAATCTAATGCTGTCCCCAGATTTTCTGGAATATGTATTTCTTGACATTTCCTTTATGGTTATGTCCATTGATCATAACGTGAATTGAATAACATATCGATTCCACATGTCAATCAAATTTGAGAAGACTAAGACCTAGTTCACCCTAATCACAGCAGATAGAAATAGTAGTCGTTATTTTTGGATTACGTGGTAGGGAAACCCAACTTTTTCAATTTCTAATATTACATTATTCCGGAAATTCATTTCACATCTAGGTAATTGTATCGAATGCTGATTGCAAATACACATGTTGTGGTTGTTTCAGTTTTCTAAGTGCATTTTGTGGCAGTTAGTAATGATATTCATAAAAATTACAACCCGATTTGGTTACAATGGAAAGTGAGAAAAGGAGACAGTTCACAATAGAACAGAAAGTAGAGATTATAAAAAAACTATAGAGGAATGAAGCAGGTCAATGTAGCATGTGTGGCATGAATCCAACTTCAGTTTCAATTATTTTAAAGCAGAGTAAAAATTCTCAAAATTTATGAACTATTGGCGATATGCCCCGATTGAAAGAAGATTCATTTAGGGGATTTTTAATAAAGTGGAAGAGGCAGTAGACACGTGGTTTAAGGAAGTTAGGTATAGTGGAGTTCCTGTTTCTGGGCCAATGATACAAGAAAAAACAAGACAAGTTGCAACACTAAAGGATGTTAAGATTTTTCAGGCAAGTGCTGGCAGATGAAACTGCATTTTTTATCATACGTTACCGAATAAAACTATGTTTTAGAAGGAAGAAAAGCGTGTAAGAGGCAAACAGCCAAAAGAAAGATTAACAGCATTACTTTGTTGTAATGTCCCTGGTACTGAAAAATTGAAGCCTATGGTAGTAGGACATTGCATAAAGCCTAGATGTTTCACAGGTGTACGTCTCTTCCAGTAGAATATACAGCCAACAAGAAAGCATGGATAACCAAAAAACTGTTCTCGAGTTGAACAGAGACATTTTGAAAACTAAAAAGAAAAATCTTGTTAGTGATAGGCGATTGCTCTTCTTATGAAGTAAACTGCACGTTGGAAAATATTAATATTCAATCAATTCCTCCCACCCACTGCACTTCAGTATTACAGCCATTAGACTAGGCATTTTTTCATAATGCAAAGGTCTACTTTCATAAAAGACTGGTTCAGCAAATTCGAATGAACCTTACATTGAAAGTTGCAACCAAAATCAACATCCTGCAAGGGATACAAATGTTAACTGGGGGTTGGTGAAATGTGAAAGCAACAATTGCCAATTGTTGAAGAAAGTCAGGAAATCTGGATTTTTAAGACAGTGCTTCGCCAAAGGTTGATGCTTGTGAAGATCATAGTAAGGTATGGGAACAAATTGCAAAAGATTTAGAACAGGCATAGCTCGACGTTAAAGGATGTAAGCCAGAGCCTCTCCTGTAGAAATCGCCCCCCAAAAGAAATTTCAAATATATTTATAAATGTATTTATTTATTAATCATGGGTTTACGAGTAATATTATATACAATATTACATAACAATCATATCAATTTCTTTTCATCAGTTCGTTAACAGCCCTCCGCAACACATTTGAAGCTATTGACAGGAAGCTATTTAAGAGAAAGCGTTAGGCTCCCACTTCACTTCGCCGTAAAGCCTGTGTAAAACGAGGAGATTCATTTCGCCTACAACGAATGCACGTCATTGTGACGACATGCCTTCCCTGCAGATGAAAGCAGCATCCTGTTAGCCTCAAAGGTGGGGGGCCTAAGGTCTGAAGAAGGGTGCGCTCAACACATAGCATTAGTATGCTCAATTAGTTTCCCTCATATGCGGTAGGAGCGCTACTCCCTTAAGACTGTATCAGGAGCGCCAAATGCACAGACTGTATACTGCAATTTTCGCAAGTCTGCCCCCAGCAGGTACCAGCTGTTGATGGTTTCATTCAATAGGGAGCTTGAACGTCACCATAGTGATGTCACAATGGTTCAAGCTCCCGATTGGATGAAACCATCAACAGCTGATACCTGCCAGTGGGAGGCTCGCATAAATCGGAGTATAGTCTTCGTGATCGGAAGAGAAAATGTATACAGCGTGTCCCAAGCTAAGAATGAAGTACAGGGCCTTATGGGCATTTCCAGTAAAATAAACATACCCCCAGATTTTAAGATTTCCAAACAGTTTTAAACCCTCATTAACAAATTTTTTCATCACAACAATTACATTAGCAAAGTAATACCTCGAGTATAGTATGTATTTACAACAAATTGTGGTGAATATCTTAAGAATTTATTATTTTTTGAAGGAAGGGATAATTCAGCTGTTGGATTAGCCGTAGCTGAGATGCCATGGTGCCACGTGTGGTTGCCGTATCAAACTGTGCTCAGAAAGCGTTCCGATTGTTTTACATGTGTTTGTTCGCCTTGTGAAAAGTGGTTTTGTTTTTGAGATTTATGGTTTTAATCGCGGCAAAGTTAAATGTGATTTCGCTTACCATTCTTCATTTTGGTTTTTAGGTAGGTTGTGGCAAATTCATTAATTTACCTTTTTTAAAAAAATGTATTTCCTTTTACTTTGCAAACTTAATTTAGAATGTACAATACACCAACCGTAAAGTGCTCAATAGTCGAAATAAACAAATGGTAATTATGGTAAATGGTAAATGGTACCGGGTAAATGGTAATTATGGTAAATGGTAATTATGGTACCGGTAGATAACTGTATTTAATTGGCTGTCCGAGTGACGCCCCATCCATGACAAAGGTGCCGACGTTTCAGTCGCCATTTTGCGGCCTTCACTCAAAGCAGGAAGGTCGCAGAATCGCGACCCGACTCCTGTCGCGGAAGCCTACGCTCTCGGTAGATGACTGTTCGCTCATCTGGCGCGAGGCAGCTCAATTTCCCGTGAATCAAATCAGTTTGTTCCCGTGGGGCCGACTTCTTTTGTCATCAAAACAATTTCAAATATTTTGTTCGGTAACCAAAATTTATTTTTTATCTACTGTTAAAAAGGAAACATGATCCCTGGCCTTTTTACAACTGCATGTAGTAGGGTTGAATTTTGGATATTGATTTGAAAGTGGGGCACTTTTAAAATTAATATTTCTTCCTGATTTCTTATGACATTTCGAAGCACAAAGGACGTGAGAAGCTCAACAGGAACGTTCCTGAGTATTGGAGATGCTAAGGAATAGCTTTAGATTTAAGGAAAGGTAGGAAAATACGATTACAGAAAATTGGAAAGGTTCGAGATAAAATACTTGAGCGCTAAACTAGCGCTCCGCCCCATTGCGCGAGTCGTTGACACCATCGAGCGCGTAACTTTCGATTAATACACTGTCGCCATAAGAGACCGTACTTCAGTCTTAACCTCGGACGCGCCATAGAAATGCCAATGCAATGCAATTGCAACTTTCGCCATTTAGAAAACCGCAAGCCGAAACCGAGTTAGAACTTCCTTCAACTGTTACATTTAATGATGTCAATATTGACTGTAACAAGTTATTGCCTCGCAGAGAGTGAAGTCATGAAATCTTTGACTTCATCACAAGAAAATAATGAAGAGGAGGAGGAAGTAGAAGAAAAAAAGATTGAAGCAGTATTGTCAACAATCACAGAAAAGAAGTTAAAAGTTTATGTTCAGAACAATATAAATGTTCCAGACAGTTCTCAAATCATTATTTGAGGTAGAACAGTTAGTGGACAACAACTTTCCATCAGAGAATATCTTAATGAGCGAACTATTTAAAATTGTGTTTTCGATATGAAGTACTTTTCAGTATAAATTATATGATTTTATGATGTACTTTATACTGAGATTTTACTGCATTCATATTAAGATGAATTATGAATACAGGTAGTAATAAGTGTTTTTGGCAAGGCTTGATAAGAAAATATTTGCTCCCAACTATTAGCAAAAGCAAATCAGCTCCAGATTTTGGATATTACCCTGTATCATGACCTTCAAAATATAATCCACTTTCTGTCGCAAAAACAGATCAATTATTTAATTAACTTAACAAGCGAACTAGGTGTTTAATTAAGCGACAAACACCCATTAACTTTACCTAGAATTAATAATGGTTGTGACTTAAAGAACTATCTTAATACTTTCACTTTAAATGGCAAATTTAATGTGGAATTCAGGTGGGTAAGTTTTGTGGTCCCAGTTGTGATCACATCATCAAATAGAAACTAGAAAAACATACAATTACAACCAATAGAAACTTAAATCATAAAACCGAACATAAATCTTTGAAGGTCGTTTGATATTCTTTATTTAGCTTTTAATCCACAGATGACGTACACCATGGTTTCTTGAAAGAAAGATCTAGTTATAAACCTGCTTACTTTAACCTACTATACATCCTCCTCTTTGAGTGTATATATGAACTAGTAGATTTGGTGCACAAAGACTAAGGTCTTCAATGTTTTAGTTCATAGTAGTACATTAAATAAACCGAAGCTGTTAGATATTCTGTACACTTATTTACGCTTGTTTCAATCTTATTTGAGAATTCAGCTCAGATTCACGTGCATTCGTGCATTATGCAGGGTATTTATTACCAGTTTTTACCCCATCATGAGTTCCACAAGGATACGATCTTGGACCATTGCTTTTTACCTAAAGAATTAAAGGCTCCCACATACCGGCGCGAAATATCCGTGCGGCAGGCAAGCGTCGCGGCAGCGTTTCAATCCGCAACAGATTGTTATCAAGGCTTCACCAAGCATCCAAAAGGAAAGTAATATTCATTTTAACAGTGACATATAATGTAATATTTACCATTTGGACTGAATAATTTTAAAGTACCTGTAACAATTATTGTTCTTCAACTTCCGAGTCAATAACCCCCATCTCGTGCAGGTTTTCGTCTAGTTTCCCTGATCCTTGAGCAAATGCTGAGATGGCTCTTTGTTTTACTTCTGGACATACATGTAACTTCAAATGAAGTCCCGTAAGATTGTCCTTCTCCTCGTAGCATGTCACAGTTTAATTGTTTTTGACGTAAATAAAAAAATAAACGTCTTTGCTACCCTACAAATCCGATGATAATTCTGCGAGTTTTTTTTCAAACAATGGCAGAATGTACAAGTGTAAGACAGCGGATATCAAAAATATTTTTGGACGTAGGGATAGGCTGTTCGGAGAAATGACGCTTTGTTGGCACCCACCCCAATAAAGCAACATCTGTGAGAATCCCTTCTTAGCACCTGCAAGCTCCAATCCTTCGCTGCAGCTGGACGCGCACAGAAATTTAATGCATGAAAGAAGCTCAAAGAACTCCGATGTAATAATATACACGATTTATTGGCGAGAAACTAAAGTAAAATTGATATGCTCGTTTTTTTTTGTTTGTTTTTTTTTGTTTTTTTATATTTCATGAAACTGTTACCATCACTTCAAAATCTTCTGATTCTCCTACAATTATAACAATTGTGAATCTTCATCTTTTTATGGGAGACCGAAAATCTTCATTTATTCTGCGCGCTGATTCTATCTGACCACCACGGTTGTAAAACCATGGTGTATGTTGTTCCGTGGTACCGATATGCGACGGACAGTCGCTCTCTTCACCGTCACCCGCCGTAAAGAGAGCAAATTTCGCATTTCCGGTATTAGGTGGTATCTGGAGAGCAACAAAATTTATTTTCGGTTACTACTGGCAACTAAAAAAGCGAGGTGTGCTCATGTAATTTCTTTTTTAACTTTGTAATAACATTTTCTGGTACTTGCAGTGCTAACTTCATGTCCGGTTTGCCAATAGTTTATAGTAGGGTCAAATGAAGTGACAATTTTTTTTCTGTAACAAATTAGCAACAAAAAGCGACAAATTTGGAGTTTAATTCCAATTTGTTTTAAACTTTGCTGTGCTAATTTGAAGGACCTCGTGAAGAGGTCCGGGAATTCCAAATCCGAATCGGCATTGGAACTGTGGTTCGCAAATAGACAAATGCGCTTACCAAGTTCACTAATATTTTCGGTTACTACTGGCTCGCTTGCTCGCTGCCCTTCTTCGCTTTACACTTCCCGCTCCATCTCCGCTATCACTACTACTGATCATTCTTTAGCCACCAAGTCACCTCAGATTACGGAAGGATGACCACGTAAAAATCAGAATTATTTGGAAACACACATTTTTTCAAGATAAATTTAGTTCTATACTTCGGTTATAGAGGATGCGAGAACGACTGCCCCAATTATAAAACCAGTAGCGTGATTTGTGAAATAAAATAAACTAGTGATGCTACAGAATGGCACAGACTTTCTCTAACTAGTTCGTTTCCTTATTTCTTTGCTATGGACTATATTTTCGGTTTCACTCCAGCGTGTAGGACGGTTTCTATTGCGTGTAGTCTGGCTGCTAAACGACCGTACAGAATAGCAATAGAGAAGGTTTTACAATTGAAGGGAAAGTTGTATGGTACAATGCATGAATCAATTTGTACAAAGGTACAAAGCATGAATCAAACTGTTCAAATTATTTTTAAAACGTTTGTATCAATTAAAATTTATTTCGTATTTTTTTATAAACGTAATTCCGTACTATGTAAATGTTTGTTTGATAATTGTGTATTTTAATATTACATATTTTATCCTATTTTACATATCCATTACATATTCTTAGTGTTTCCATTACATATTTATATACATATTTTTCCGGTTTCTATTTATGAGACATTAATTAAATAAACGCAATAATGTATACAAGTCGCTTGTAATGTAAAAATTAAACACGTGAGAGAAATGTCAAAACAATTGAGTAAGTTTTGAATAATAATAATAATAATAATAATAATAATAAAAAGGAAGAAATACGGCATATAATCTTACACAGGACAATTAGAAACATCCTTACCAAAAGTCTGAAAAAAAATTGGAGCCGTTTTTGAATACTGTTTTTTAGTATTTTTTGTGATGCATATACTTCACGCAATATTATACAAAACGACTAAAATTTTCAAAGAAATGTGCATGACATCAATTAAAAAACTAATTAAGGAAAACAAATTTCATTACAGGAAAAATCTCTATCATCAATACTGTAGTTGTGAGGACGCCGAGAAAAATTCAAACAAGTTTACTGTAAACATCGGACCTATACCACCTTGAGAACATATTTCAATCTATTCTTACAACAAATTCGAAGAAAAAAAACTGGAACCATTTTTGAGAAAATATAAAAGATGGCCTTGAGGCGACATTTAATGTATCTTCAAATTTTAAACAATATTTTTCGAACTTTTGAGACTGGCCAGACCGGCCAGTGAATATTCACTTTCGATAAAATTCTAGGAATACTTGTAGTTTCGGCCCTAGTGTTGTTCACAGATGACAGACAGACGCTCAGGCGTTTTGAAAGAACAAAAAACACTTTTTCGGTATCAAAGGGCCTCAAAACATGCATTTCGATGAAACCACAAAATCGATTTTCCGCATTATTTAACTTTCTCTGTACTACATATATTACTCAGTATAGAGGTACGTATACGAGAATGTAAAACCAATGTTGTGATACGGAAAATAGCGAATGCATTATCTGGCACATCTCAGCCGGGCCACAAGGGAACCGTCAGCTTCCTCGCTCCCAGCCCGTCTCTCTTATATCTTAGGAAACGTTTCCGTACCGAGGGTGTGGGGGCATTGTATTTTGCCAAGTTTCATTTTACGACGCGCCTAATCAGTCAATTTGGACGATTGATACGGCGTTGGATTCAGGAAGCACTTCGCCATCGCGCTATAATCCCACATTTCTAAATTTCTTCCCAAAACTATTCCAAAACTCATTTTCAATATTTTTTCAGAGGCTTCGTAGCGTAAAATTTATATTAAATACAAATCCTATGTCGTTGGATATTGGGCTACTTATTCAGACGTTAATAGTGAAGTATTTTTGGCTTCTTTTGGTGCTGCTACGTGGTGCGACAAATTGAACTAGTGTGGGTACATTTAACCTTAAGCCACACAATTATTGATTTTTACAGATCAGCACCTTTTTCCATCCTTTTTAGATATTGTTCTTGGAGACGTTTGTCTCCACGATTTCTTTAATATTTCTGTGTCTTACATTTCATGTTGTGTAGCATCAGAAGTTCAGTATCTACGTGTCTTGCATAGTGTCCTTTGCAATGCTTTTGGTTCACTTACAATGCCTGTTTTTCATTCTTCAGATTTTATGAATAGCCTAGTTAGTGGGTTCTCTTGATGACTAACTACATACTTTCCCATTCCTATTATTGTCTTGTCCCAAGAGGCTTCAATTTGCTTTTGGGAGAGAAGTACGTGAAGGGTGAGGGGGGGGGGCGAGAGAGGGGGACGAGA